TGCTTCATGAGTTACGCTAGACAGACGCTCAGCAATGCATGCAGGTCTTTTTGTAAGGTGTCCTCTTATTTTTGTACAATTTTAATAAAAATTAGATAAATTTATTATAACTGTTGAATTAAATTGGATTGGATGGATTAAAATAAAATACATCGTATAAACTAGACACTCTTTCCGGTTAAAGGAGTGTTTAACTACTTCGGTCACGTTTTATTTTCATACTTTTTTCTGGATATTCTGTTACTTCATCCTGTAGGTTATAATGACGGAAACTATCAGGATGTGGAAACATTTGTTACATACCGAGTATCATCCAACGGGCTGACATATTTCTCTGAACAAATATATCTGGTACTCGGACCCTTTAAATTGGGCACCCTCGTAACACAGAAGCATAAAAGGATAATTTGTTTAGACTCTAAACCATCTCTTTGGCGGGGAAAATATATCAAGGCAGTCATAATTGAAGTTCGATTCATGTAACTCGTCAAACGACTTTGAGGATAAGAAGTCACAAGAATGAATTTTCGTGTTCAGCTGAATACATTGAATGTCTGCTTACCCTCAGATAAACAGAGTGCTTGAAGATTGCTGGTTTGAAGTATCGAATAATTCATTTTTAAAAATGAAATCGAAAGCCACTGCTTATTTGAAGACACGCTTGCTGATATTATGTTTCCTCTAAACCTATTTTCTAGAAATTCTGTTACTTAGTTTCAGAATTTAAAATTCTGGAAAAGAATGCTGATATAGCTTAAACTGCTCTCTTCTGGCTTCTGATTACCTAAATGTTCGAAATTACCTTGAAATCATAGTATAAATAGTGCATTACGTAGAACCTCAGTTCTCGGAAAATTTACGGACTTTTATTAGGCGTTCCGTGGTCATATTGATCAGTACTGATGCAAGTCATGGGAAATTTCCTAACTTGTGAGCGTTATTTTAGTCTATGTTGCTGCATCATGGGAAAATCTTTGATGCGTAATCTGTATTTCTATTCAGGACACTGAAGGAAACACTAAAAGCGAATGAAATCAGCTTCGATAGGATGTAACGTATTTAATGGAATATTTTTCGTTTATGTATAGGGAAGAGTGAGTAAATAGGCCATAAATGGATATGAAACTTAAAACAGGTGATACTGGAAACTGGAAGAAACATTTGTTTCTCGACATATCCTCAAACAAAGTTGATATACTCGTAAATAAACAAACTCCGTGGTTTTAGTCCGCAAGCGAACTATACCGACCGAGCGACCGCCGCTTGTCGGCGAAGTTAGTGCCAACTTTAGCGGATAGAGGGTGTCGCGTGGTCAGCGCAACGAATCCCCACTTCCATTAATTTCGGTTTTCTAGACTGGAGTCACTATTTCCTTGAAATAGCTCCTCAATTAACCTCACGAGGCTGAGTGAACCCCTTTCCAGACACACTACTTCTCAGGAAAAAATCTGGTAGAGCAGAGAATCTAACCCGGACCTCTGGATCTGTAGGCAGTAACTCTGACCACTATACCACAGAGGCAGTCACTGATACACGTGTACCATTGCTTTACCAGTGTGTCGAAACCCACAGCACAGAAATCTCTTGACTGTTGTCGCTGTCACTTCCGCGCCCTCGTTTCAACCTCTTCGTCATCAACGAAAGGTTTGTCACGTTTCTCGATCCAGCTGTGAACCGCCTTACACGATAAACATATCACGCCGTAAACAATAAACATTTATTTATGAATATGCGTTTTATTGAGTTGTTTTGCCCATAAAAACGCACAACAGAACGCTGCTCTTAGGTATTACACTCCTCAAGCACGGTTGCCATTTTGACTACTAAAACCAGCCTCTGAAGATGCACGTGCTCTTCTGCTACCTAGACTGTCATTAAGCTGTCACGCTACTTAGTAATACTAAAAAAAAAAGAAACTATTAAACCCAATTACGGCTATTTAGTTCCATTTTGTGACCAATTTACTGACTCTCCCTAGTCCTGGGCAAAGCGCTGATTTAATTTAAACATGTCTTTGGAAAGAGCGTCTAGCTCCCGCCTGTAGAGCCTGTTGGTAGCGTCAGGGTATACGAGTATATGGTGTTGGAATTGAAGGAAACGATGAATGGTGCTATGGTTCCAGAATCTAAGAGGGTAGGGAAGGGTACACAGTAGCTTGGTCTTTTTGGTTCGTAGCGTCTCGAATCGTCGAATATGTCGATGAGTAGCTTATCCACGCAGGATCACTACGTAAGTCTCAGCAAGAAATGGAAGCCTCTCATCTGCTTCCTCAAGAAACCTCCAGAATATGACGCCAGATCTGCAAGACTACCTAGGTAAATACACGCTCGACACCTTAGCCCCAAGGCTGTCGGGTCAACGTTTGCTGGGTAGCCCTGCTCTTCCCCCCCCCCCTTCTTATTAAGCTGGGTGTTTTCGACTGGTGGCTCAGTCTGCAGCTACTTGCTCACGCTGATATTTCAACCCTGAAGATGCAGGCGATACGTTCCTCCGAAACGTAGGTTCACACAAGATCTACAAGGCGCCACATCCCAGAAGACGGTATTCTTCAAAGTAAATTTAATTTCGTGTAGGTCCGTCCATCCATCCGTCAGTCCGTCCGTCCGTCCGGCCATCCATTCGTCCATCCGAACATCCATCCATCCATCCATCTATGACTACAGCCTTTAGGACCTTGGCCGCTTTGAAGTTTCTTAAACCATAGAGAGTCGGTAGGACTCCTTGGACGGGGGATCAGCCGTTGCAAGGCCGCTACCTACATACTGAACAACACAAACACAGAATAAACGCACACAGACATCCATGTCTCGAATGAGATTGGAACCCACGATCCCAGTGTTCGAGCGGGCGAAGACGGTTCATGCCTTAAACCGCGCGGTCACTGTGATCGGCAGTTCGTGTAGGTCTACCATACTAAATTTTAAGAAAAGAATCGATCAGATAGTTTGCACCCTGTTCCTACCTGACGGACGGACGTGAATCTAGCAAGTAGCTCTATTTATACGTCTCTGGTTAATAATAGAAGTTATCGTAATTAAATGGGTATGTGGGCCTACTGAGACCGCCTCTGTAGTCTAGTGGTTAGAGTTTCTGGCTACAGATCCAGAAGACCGGGTTCGATTCCCGGAGCTACTAGAGTTTTTTCTGAGAAGTAGTGGGTCTGGAACGGGGTCCCCTCAGCGTCGTGATGATAACAGAGGAACTATTTCAAAGAAGAAGCAGTGCTCTCTAAAATTACATAGTGTCATTTCTCAAATTAAACAAACAAAATAAGCCCATACTTTACATAGCATGAAGATGACTGAAGTATTTGAGCATATGAGCTTAAATGAACAAGACTGACAGGATGCATTCTTGGGCCATGTGTCCTTTATTTTAAAATTACATTTTATGATCGCATTCGAACCTAAATACAACGATAATCAGTCCTATACTTGTTAAGAATAGAACTTACCTTATGAATATTTGATTAAATTGCGTCTGTGTCAGAGAAGATTACCAAAATAACCTGCACATTCCAACAGTGAAACGTTTGCAAGATGCAATACTATTTTCTTGGTGTTCATTTGTTTTCATGACCAACCATGGCGTTCAGGTTTATTGCCCATTTGTTTGCATGACCGACTGTAACAACTAGATTTATCATACTAGTTAAATTTAGCAAACAGAATGCCCAAATAATATACCATAACATAACTAAGTCTACATTAAATTACTTAGTTTTGAAGAACAGCATAATAAACAAGAGAGAATTATCAAAGCCTTCAGTTATCCAACGTTATAGGCGGAAGCGCCCCCGACGGTATCACGGAGAGATCACAATGGAACTAATATGCCACCGAAATTAGTTCACTTGCATCACTGCCCACCAAATAAAGAAATAATAGACACAACCTCCGAATCAGTTTTCAGTGTTTTCCTTAGCGATATCATATGTGAATCACACCACAGGGTATTTAATAGCATTCATTTCCGTTTCCCCGGTACGTTGCCTAGTCCGTTCCGGGACCCGCTGTTAGTAGTGACAGTATTAAACAATGAATTAACACTTATAGAGGGTATCAATTGGAATCCTTTGTTCTTATCCAGAATCTTACAACTGTTCAGATGTTCCATTTCTTACATGAGTAATTATGATAAAGGGGTGACTGCTATTTTGACTTGCGAATCTTGTTAAGCTAGAATTAACGCTATGGACTACATATTTGAGAGGGCTACTGTAGCTCCACCCAACTGATGGATGTGTAACTTTAGTGGGCAGCACCAATGCATAGTCTAGCCTTTCTACTGGCCACACATTGCCGCGGGTTCTTTGAACGAAGTCGTGCAGCCAATAAAATAGAAGATGCGAATGTCACTTTATTCCCTTTGGTTTACGTTAATAAAAGCCTGCTACTATTTTTAAATGCATTGTAAACAAACGAAGGGTTCTCATTTTCGTAACCTTTGTTACGGAGCATACAGTTAATGGTGATCGTTAATCGTTATAGGTGAAAGTATAAATGATGTTTTTAAATACTACGGTTATTGTGAAAATGAGTAACCTCAAATGTCTGTCTACACGCTGATTTAGCAACACCGTACAACCCTCACGACAATTGTACTTCCATCTCATTTTTCTCCCGTCTCTCTCTTTCACACGCTACTCACACTCTCGTCCTCACCTTCTTTGACGACGAGTCCAAACCAAGAACGGGGGGTGTACTTATAGAAAATACATCGTAGAGTTTTCTAGAACTGTTTCACAAAACTGTGCGTCTGGATTATTGCTGCACTGTTCTGTCATAGTTTATGTGGTCAGCAATTTGTATCTACATATTAAAATGGAAATTAGTATATATAACAAGGTAGTATCACTGACCCATAGTGGCAAAATAACGATCTGAACTCCCACTTTCGCGTTTGGTCTCGCCTATAGTAGAGAGTGGGGGAATTTGTGACGTCAGTCGACAGTAATGTTCGTGGTGTTGGTTGATCGAGTGTGCAGCAGTACGAAGGATTTCAGTAGCGGAGTTCGGTGCGATCCATGAAGAAGCGGAAACGTGTGAGGAGAAAGGGAGAGAGAGAGAGAGAAAAAAGAGCAGCATCGCTGAAGGCCAAATAAGAGCTGTACGTTCGACATTTATGTGTCTAATGCGACTGCGGAAAATACTTAAGTAGTGTTTATAAGTGATCGTATGCTATTTAAGGACATATGTTGAAGACCAGAACCGAAGCGGATGCATTCAGTTATTTAATTTGAATCTTGTTTCAGTATTTTGAGATATCGTAATATATGGAGTTACCCATGGGTGATCGTGTTTATGCGGCAGAGAGAATCATGAAGAAAAGGGTGAGGCGGGTAAGTGAAATCGTATTCTAAGCTGTGAAGTAGGCAGCGGTAGATGGTGTTATGCTGACGTGTGGCCGCGTATACGAATGAGTAACGTGAAATTCAGTTAAGTGAACAACTATGCAGTAGCAAGTTAGACTTGACCTTGTTTTAAATAGGTGATCAGCGCTTTCGGTATTCTGACAAATGATATGTTAAAAAGGATGACATTTTAGTTGCAGCATCGGTTTTAACGTTTTAAGGAATTATTCACAGAAGAGGTCATTGTGCCTGAAAATTCCTCATATTTCCCTCAAATGTCAACCGAAAATTTAAAATAATATGTGCCTTCGCTCTCGGGGGGCTGTAGTGCCCCAGAGAGGAGGAAAGCAGGGTGAAGTGTTCTTGGCAAGGTGGTATGTGACAAGTTATCGTCCTAGACTAGGATTTGACAAAACTGGGGGTGCGTGACGGGCTGATTATTCAGTGTTGTTTTTGCACGTTAAATGTAATTTATATTTCCAATTAAAAGAATTAGTAACATTATAAGGACTTAACCCGTCGTACTGAATGTAGCTTTTTAGAGCTTCTCTGTGAATTAGATGTGTCAAGGTCTGTGTTAGTGCGTTTTAAAATGTTAAAGCTGACACTGTTTTGACAGCTGTGGTTGAATTGTTCAGCACTAATAACTGTCACTGTTATGTGCCGTTGGTGGGAGAACTAGGGAACTAGTATTATATTTCAGCATCCTATTGCATTGAGGCATTATCCTTATTAAAGCACCCATCAATAATGCAACAATATTTTTTTTAAATGTAAAAGACATTTAAAATATGTTTCACACTAAAAGTGCCACTTTAATACTTTATGATGTTAAAATAATAAAATATCATTAAGACAATAAAAGTATAACTTATACACTAAAAGTAATTATCAAATTTCTAAAATGTGTGTAGTCTTACATATGTTTTTTCTCACTTTACAACATGTTTTGGCCGCACATGGACCATCAACAGACAATTTACCTTTTGTTTTTCGGGGAGACCACTGCACTGTTCACTTGTCTATGACACAATGACAGTAGACAAGTTTGTATTTGCTAATTATTGACTAATCACTGTTTATCATAATTAAGTTTACCGTTATAGTCCCATGACTTGTTTGCTATTGCATCGAGTCCCAGAACTGCATTCATTCCAGTAGCAGTAAATTAAGTAATTAAGTTATATCTCCCCATCGGACTTGACTGACAAATAAAGGTAAAGTCATCCAGTCTGTAGTACATTTTAACGTCCGATATTTATCGTAGTAGTACATTTATTAGAAGTTACTGGTGTTCTTTATCTGTATTTTATTTGCCCTTATAACTTAAAGTAATACTACATTTTATTTCAGGGGCGAGTTGAATACTTTGTCAAGTGGAAAGGATGGAGTCAAAAGTGAGTATGCTTACCTGACATACAAATTTAATACATTTTTATTAATGGTTATAAAGGAATCCCTCATTTAATGGGATTAGTATGACCCTAAAAACTGTTGTCCCAATGCAGATGGAAATTCTACCATAAGCACAATAATTGTTCATTAACATATATAGCACTATGTATATATATATATATATATATGTTTTAATAAAGAATTGTTGCATTGATGGTAGAACTGTATATGTTAATTGTATATACATGACATGATGCAAACTTTAAAAACACTAACACTCATTACTGTGGGGGCATGCAGTAGTGTAGTTGGTTGAGGCACTATGCTACAAGCCAGAAGGTCGTGGGTTGAAGTCCCATTGAGGTTGTTGAATTTTTTTCAATATTATATTTCAGCATCCTGTTACACTCACACAATATATATGGATAAATGCCGTCTTAAGTGCAACAAATTTTATTGTAGTTTTTACTTCTTTTCCTCCTCCACACTACATGTTTCGGCCCTAAATGGCCATCATCAGGTGTGTATCACTCACGTAGCTGTTACACTGCTTGTT